AAAATTTTGGAATAGGGAGCTCTGATTACTTAGTTATACTGCCATCCTAAAGATAGACAGTTTGAATCCTCCAGCTACTCTGTGGAAAAAAGATGAGTATTCTCCTTGCAATGTATAGCCTCTGAACACCCACAGGAAGGTTAGCTATGAGTTAGTTTGCTTTGATGGCAATGAGGGAGATAATGACAGAAAGTAGATTAATGATTGCCTGGGGTGAAGGTAAAGGGAGTGGGTCTACTACAATCAGACAGGAGAAAACTTGTTACAGTGATCAAATGTTCTAAATTTTGGTTGTGGTAATAGTTATATGGCTGCTTAACAATTATAAAAATTCACCAAACAGTACATTTAAAATAGGTCCATTTTAGTATATCTAATTATAATTCAATAAAGCTTGAAAAATTTGTAAATGCAATTATTAATTGAAAAAGTAAATCATCAAAGAACACACACATTGCAAAAATACTGTATAAAGTTTTAAAACATAAGACAATATAGTAACCTGTTGATGGAGTCATAAATATATAGAATCTATGAGGAAAGATCATGATCTTTAGGGTAATGGTTACCTTGAAAAGAAGAAAGAGGTGGATAGGTTTCTGACCTCAAAAATTAGCCTTCCTGTCCAGGAACCTTCACTGCAACACATGATCTTGCAGATCATCAAAAGATGTGGGCTAATATATGAGAGCACTTTCCACACTGTGAAAAATGGTGGTGGAGAGAGGGTGAAGAGATTGTGGCACTGCCGTGAAGAGACTGTGGAGAGGTGTAACCAAAGCACCATGGAGATGAAGCCACAGTTAAAGGTTTTGGTTGCTGAATGACTGAAGGAAAAGCTGACTTGTAACTACTCTGAAATAAAGTCTAATGGATGACTGAGGAAACTAGAGGCTTTTTGCTGCTGAACTGAACCTGGAGTTTCACTAATTGAGGAATTGTACCTCATTAATCTGGCTTGGGCCTGCTGCACTAAGCCTGGACCTTCACTGTGTGACATTTTTGCCTCTCCCACTCCCCAGCCTATTTCCCTAATAACTTCCACAACTATGCGTAAAGTCTGTGAACACTGGACCCAATGACTGGTAGAAATAGGTGCAGGAGCATGTGGGGTGGCATGACTGACCACATAGCTATTTGTATGTGGCCTAGTGGCATGAAGCTGTGCTGCAACCCTGAAGGCATGGTTCAAATCCATCAGCTGCTCCATGGCAGAAGGATGGGCAGTCTCCTTCCATGCAATTAACTCCCTCTGAGAACCGAGCACTCGGTCAGCTATGGGTCTGTTCCAACTTGATGGTACACAACAACAACAACAACAACAACAGGGATGTTCTCGATGGGGACAGTTTCGCTTTATGAAGAGGGAAGAATTCAGACTCAGCCACTACTACTGTTGTGCCTCGTCCTTTTACAGTAGATGTAACTATAACTTTTTTTTATTGTAAAAATCATGTATTTACTATAGCTTTTAATCTTAAAAAAAAGAACAGAAGTAAATCAAGGAAATGTTAAAAAAAATTCATGCTATAGCCTCAAAAAAGCACCTAAATCCCACACCCACTGCTTAATTGTATCTGACTGGCAGCGATACTCCACTGGGTTTCCCAGGCTATAAATCTTTATGAGACTAGATTCCAATCTTTTCTGGTCTTTGCTATATTATTTTCTAGAATTGTTCATTTCTTGGTCTGATGAACTAATTTTGAAATTAGTTTAAAATTGAAGAAATCTATATTCCTCAATTTAACTGTTGTTGTTGTTATGTGCCGT